GTTGAACTTTCACACAATCAAACTTTATTTTTATTTTTTTACCAGGTGCCTCGGCCTTTGCAACGACCTCTGCAATCTCCATACATCACCTTTCACTCACTGGAAACGAGAAAGAATGTTCTTCACGTTAGGACGCGGTAAAAGCGTCCAAGCCGGCGTCACGGTCTGTTGCTTGATTGCATTCGTCCTCTTCGGATACGACCAGGGCGTTTTCGGAGGCATCTTGCACAACGACGACTGGCTCCGCCAATTCGACCACCCCTCGGACACCTTGACAGGCTTCATTGTATCGTGTTACAACTTGGGATGTCTCGGTGGCTGCGTGTGTACGTGGACCTTGTCCTCAACTCCCGTGCCTCGATCACTCTTTTGTCCACCTACGCCTCACGGATGGTCTATTTGAAGCGCCAGCACCTAATGGCAGTAGAGCCCACGCTTACATGTTTGTCTCCAGTGAACTTCTTCTTCGGCGACATCCTGGGCCGCCGCAGAGCCATCTGGATGGCCATGGGCCTCGTCGTCATCGGTGCCACGCTGCAGACGACCGCGTTCCACGTGCCGCATCTCATCATTGGAAGAGTCATCACCGGCCTTGGCACAGGTATCAAAACATCCACGGTTCCAATGTAAGTTGCAGATGGATCCAGCTGAGACGCGGAGTGAAAGCTCGACTGACGTGCGAATGACCACAGGTATCAAGCCGAACTCTGCGATCACACGACCCGCGGACGGCTGGTGTCGGCGGAGGTCCTGTTTGTAGGCGTGGGCATCGTGATCGCCTACTGGTTCGACTTCGGCATGTCGTTCATCGGCGGTGCTATCGCTTGGCGTCTGCCGATTGCCTTTCAGATGGTGTTCGCCTTGGTGGTCATCGTGCTCATGTTCGCCCTACCCGAGTCGCCACACTGGCTCTTTAACCATGGTCGCGAGGCTGAGGCTGTGGATGTGCTTTGCAAGATTTACAACATGCAACCTACGAATGATCATATTATTCGCGAGCGAACTGCAATTATTCAAGCTATCGGATACAAGGGAGCTGGAAACACGTCGAAGTCTCTCTTTAGTATCTTCAGGAACGATGAAGTGCGGACTGGGTACCGCGTGCTGCTGGCGTGGGGCATTCAGTTCATGAACCAAGCCGGCGGCATCAATCTAGTTGTGTATTACATCCCTTCGGTTCTCGTCCAGAACGTCGGCACAACGACCCGTACAGCTCAGATCCTCGGGGGCTGCATCAACATGATGTTCATGTTCGGCTCCATTCTTCCGTCTCTAGCCCTCGACCGGATGGGCCGCCGGAAGACCATGATCAGCGGCTGCTTGGGCCTGAGCATCTGTATGCTCTTAGTCGCCGCCCTGCTATCGCAAGCCGAACGCCCCAACGGACATGTCTTTGCCACGGCCTCCATTGCCTTTTTCTTTCTGTATATGCTCATCTTCGGCATGAGCGTCAACTGCGTGCCGTGGGTCTACGTACCCGAGATCCTTCCTCTGGAGGCTCGGGCACGTGGAACGGCGTTAGGAGTTAGCTCCAACTGGCTGTGGAACTTCACCGTCGTCATGATAACGCCAGTCATCATCAACCGCTTGCAGTGGAAGGCATATTTGATCTTTATGGCCACGAACCTTTCGTTTGTGCCCATCTTCTACTTCTTCTATCCGGAGACGAGCAATCTCCGTCTGGAAGACGTCGATCTTTTGTTTACCCAGGGGGGCGACCCTGTTCAGAACGGACGGGAAATCTCGAAGGTGGCTGCGACTGGTGGATTGCGCAGAAGTTCCCTTTCAGGCGACCCGAAGGATGCGGCTGGCTTAGCGGTCCCAGGGTCGAACCAGAAAGGCATAGTTGAGATGTTGGAGGTAGCTTAGAGGCAATTGGATTGGTTCAGCGGTGGCTGTCAGGGACTGTGTCCAGGAAGTGCCTTATTTAAGAGACCGCCTATTTTTCCTATGCTCTATTGACTACTTTTCCTGTGGCTATACTCTGCCTTGGTTTGCAACCGCAGAAATCTCTGGACCCACCCCTGGCCCCGGCAGGGGAAAAACGTATGCCCAGGCAGCTAGTAGCTCTACCGCTAGCGGCCCCAGCCCCAGCCCCAGCTCCAGCCCCAGGTTGAACCCAGCAGCAGGCCGGCGGGCCACCAGCCGCACACGCCAGCCTAAGCAGACCCAGGACCTCCGCCTACTAGTTCGGCTCCCGGCAGAACACATCCCTACCTCCAGAACCCTAGCCCCTCACTCAGTTAAGATGGTGGTAACAAAAGAGCTTAACTTACAGCCGCAAGACCTAGTTGAGGTCCGCCATACTGCTACAGGCTTCTCACTTCAGCCACAGAACAAGGAGATCCAAGCTTTACTTCTCCAGAGAGCCCCTGAGATCAAAAGCTGCCTTACAGCTGAGAAGGTTGAGGTGCCCACTAAGTGGCATCAGTATATCGTCCCATTCTGCCCCCTCTACTTTACTAGCCTCGATGGTAGTAAGGTTGGCATAGAATCTGAAATAGAGGAAGAGGTCTTCCTAAAGACAAAGCAAAGACTTATCTCCTGGCGCCCAACCTGGGATAGCCCTGATCTAGCTACAGCTATGCAAAGCCTGGTTATCGCCCTCCCTCAATGGGTTAAGGAAGGCTTCCGCCTGTTTGGACAGTCAGGTCCTGCTCGTCTGCTCCCCCCAAGGAAGCATATCCCTAAACGACACTCTCCTGGCTGCCAAGGCTTTCACTCAAACCGCTACTGCACCCGGAAACCCCTCTGCGAGAACTGTAGCAAACCCTTAGATACTCATGAGGCTGGGATCTGCTTAGTTAGGCCTAAGTGTGCTAACTGTCATGGGCCCTTCCCAGCAAGCCATGCAGACTGCCCAGCTAGGCCCCTACTGGTTAACAGAAACCTTACTATTCCAAGCCGGAAAGAACTGCGAGGGATCCAGAAGGTTGGAGAGAAGGCGTCAAACGACCTTCTAGCAAACCAGGCTAGCTCCCTAGGAAGCAGCACACAGCAAGCTGAGGCTAGGCTAAGCGCTACTTCTAAGCGCCCTCGACCCCTCACACCTACGCAAGACTCAATTATTGTTGCAGATACTGCTAGTATAGCTGGGAGCAGCAGTATGGATGAGGATGAGGCTGAAGACTCTGAAACCCTCCCCCCCCTAACTAACCGCCCTATCCATCCGCTCCCAAGCAGCAGCAGGAGCCAGAGGGTAACCCAGAAGCCTGACTATAACGTTGTTAATGCCTACACCCACCTCGACCTCGACTCAGAGCTATAGGCTCAGGCCAGCTACCCCACAGGTACTACGAGTTGCCCAGTGTAATGTGGGGAAGAGGAGCCCAGCCCATACAGCTCTCTTAGAGCTCTGCTGGGCAGATCAGATCGACATAGTTTTGGTCCAGGAACCCTGGATAGGCTATAGAGATAAGATGCAGATTAATACACACCCAGGCTTTAACTCCTATGTACCAGTTGACTTCTGGAACCACAGAGACACAAGGCCTAGGGTTATGACCTACACACGCAAAGGTCTAAGGCTGCAAATACAGCAACAAAGACCTACCCAATCAAGAGATATCTTATGGGTGAAAGCTGGCGACCTCACTATTATGAACATATATAGGCCGCCAGATGAGCCTATAAACCAAGCAACCAGCCTCCTTCTAGATTATCAACCGCCAGAGAGAGCCCTTATCGCTGGGGACCTTAATGCCCGCCACTCCTCTTGGGAACCTGGGTCCCCTAGCCGGAATCGAGGAGACGATATTGCAGAATGGGCGGAAGGCTACAATCTTCTGTTTATTGGGGAGTTTGGGGCCCCTACCCATACCCACGGGCATACCCTCGACCTAACCCTCTCAAATATTCCCTTTACTGAGGCTTATATCAGCCCACACCTACACCCAGGGGCTGACCACGAAGCCATCACAACAACTATCCCTATGAGTAGGGCCCAGGAACAGGGACGCCAGGATAACCAGCTCTCAGTCCCGGAGTCAGCCCTACCACGGCTGATCGACCTAGTAAAGGCTGGGGCTACAGCCTTACCTACTCTAGGGGAACTGCCCAGCCCAGCAGAGCTGGACACCCTAGCTGCCCAACTGGTCAGCCTCTTCCATACAGCTATTCAAGCTGTAGGCAAGAGACGGACTAATCAGGGTAGGGGAGCCCCCTGGTGGACAGAAGAATGCTCAGTAGCCCACCAAGCTGCTATTAAGGCTAGGCGCCAACAGGCCCAAGAACCTGGGCTGGTCATACCTCCCCCTATCCTAGAGGAGCAAAAAGTCTTCCTAACAACTGTGAGAAGGGCGAAACGCACCTACTGGACTGCTAAGATCGAAGAGGCTAAGACAGACCAAGACCTATATAAAATTATAGGCTGGCGGAAGTCTAGCCTAGCAGTTAAAGCTCCGCCTCTAATAGTGGAAGGGCAGACGATCAGCAATACCCACGATAAAGCCCAAGCCTTGCGAAAGGCTCTACTAGAGCGATTTAGTGCTACAGACGACCTATCTGGGAACCCTTTTAGTACCCCAGTGGTTATAAGTCGTATTATACCCTGGCAGAATACAGTTAGCATAGAGGAAGTACGCCAGGCTACTCTGACAAAGGCTACAACCCCTGGGACTGATAGGATTACTACAAAGTTGCTACAATGCACCTGGGGATTAGTAGCCAAGCCTATACAACAGCTCTTCCAGGCCTGCGTTCAAGTAGGCTATTTTCCTAGACCCTTCCGCAATGCGGAAATTGTCATGACCCAGAAGCCAGGGAAAACAGATTTCTCTAAGACTGGGTCTTGGCGCCCAATATCCCTGCTGTCCTGCTTAGGCAAAGGCTTAGAGCGGCTGATAGCAAAGAGGATGGCCTACCTTACTATCCTAGAAGGGGTTGCCAGCCCACAGCAGGTTGGAGCCCTACCAGGGAGGGCTGCAGTCGACCTGACAACCTGTCTAACCCATGAGATTGAGAGGGCTCTAGATACAGGGCTTACTGCGACGCTAGCAACAATGGACGTCAAGGGGGCGTTTGATTCCGTCTTACGAAACCGACTTATTGTCAGGCTACGACAGCAGGGCTGGCCTAGTAGCCTGATCAGACTGATCTACACCTTCACCTCTAGCCGAACAGCCTGCGTCAGGCTAGAGGATACTACTACAGAGGACTTCCCTCTATCCTGTGGACTACCGCAAGGCTCTCCACTATCCCCTATCCTCTTCCTGCTCTATATAGCTGATATCCTAGCTGATGATCGGAAGCTACGGTTTGGCTATGCAGATGATATAGGCTTAGTAGCTACTAGCCCCTCGCTAGAAGAGAACGCTACAGCCCTAGGCCAGGAGATCACTAGTATCCTCAGCTGGGGAACAGAAAATAAAGTCGCCTTTGACCCAGCTAAGTGTGAGGCAATCCACTTCAGCAGAAAACATCAACAGACAACAGACCTACCAGATATCCAAGCCAGAGGCCTAACTATCAAGGCCTCAATAAAGCCTATAAGATGGTTAGGGGTCTGGTTTGATAGGAGACTCACCTTCCAACACCATGTAGGAATAAAGGTAGCAGCAGCAAAGAAGGTAGCCTATTTCCTACAGCACCTTACAAACACAAAAGGGGGGCTCCCAGCAGCTGCAGTTCGAAAAGCAGCTATTGCTTGCGCCCTCCCAATAGCCCTATATGGAGCTGAGACCTGGTATGCAGGCTTAACCAGACCAGCCCTGAACAGCAGCACCAGTATAGTCGGCACAGGACAGAAGGGTTTAGCCTGTAGAGTCGGAAGAGTTATTACAGCAGCAGCAAGGGCTATCCTACCTGTCTGGAGGACCACACCAACCAGTGCCCTCATCCGAGATGCTGGCCTACCAACAGCAGAGGTGGCCCTTGAGGCAGCGCGACTACGCTTCGCTACACGCCTACAGAAGGTTGACCAACAACATCCCTTGGTCCCAAGGCTTCTACAGCCAGGGCGGCAGCAGACCAGGCTCCAAAGAACAGCTGGCCTCTTACCTAGGTGCCCAAGGCCAGCACTCCTACAGCCGCAATACCCCCTAGGGTCTCACCACCCTATAGTCACACAGACGAAGGAAGCAGCAGCAAGGATCTTCCAGGCCTGGCTTAAGACTGTGCCAGATAAGCATACTATTATCTACTCAGACGGCTCTAAGGCCCCTGATGGCGCTACAGGGTTTGGCTTTGTTATATACCGTAAGAACAAACGTATAGCCCAGGGCTGCGGCCGCCTCAGCTTAGCAGAAGTGTTTGATGGGGAGGCTGAGGGGGCGAGGGCAGGGCTCCGACGGGCCCTCCTTACCTCCCAGGGCCAGCCTATACATATCTGTATCGATAATACCAGCGTTATCCAGGGGATCCGAGGCAGGGTCCCAGACTCCTCACAAGCGGCCTTCCTTGAGATCCAAGAGGCAGCTAGGACGTATGACATACGAACCCATTGGTCCCCAGGGCATGAAGGCATCAAAGGGAACGAGGAAGCAGACAGCCTAGCCAAGGAGGGCACAACCATGCCAGCCCCTAGGGGCCAACTAGCCACCCTGTCAGGGATCAAACGGCTAGCTAGAGAACGTATATGCCGCCAGTATAGAAAATGGTGGAAGCAAGATGCAACACCCCGCTATACCCAAATAGGGCTTAAGGCTTCCCTTGCCTGCCCCCCTGAACTAGCCCTGCCACGGGCTATACTCCATCATCTCCTAGCAGCCCGGTCAGGCCATGGAGACTTCGAACAATACCATCAACGCTTTAACCATACAGAAGCACTGCTTACCTGCTCCTGTGGGGAGGCAAAGGAGGCAGACCACCTAGTCTACTGCCGAAAGACCTTAGCGAGGAGGCTTCAGTGGCCCACCCTCCACCCCTCTAGTCCACAGGAGCCTATAGGACCAATAGGATCTCTGGATCGATACTACAAGGGGCTAATCACTGATCATGAAGGCTTCCAGGCCTTTCTCTGCGTGACAGATTTCTTCCGGAAGATCTGCCCGCGGTACTAGGGCCTAGGTCTGAACCTAGGCCTTAGTAACGAACCCCCCCCCCCTCGTAGAGGAACTGACGAGTATAACGGAACCAGGGAACCAGCGGGAACTAGGGACGGATAGAACACATAGTAGCCTATGGGCAAGATTTGGAGGACGTTAGGAAGAGGCGTGTACTGTAGAGTATATAGCTTGAGCCTGCGGCCCTCCACGCCATATACCCCTCGGGAGGTCGGCCGCAAGGGCGGCTGCGCCCTTGCCGCCACGGCGTTAAATACAACAACAACAACAAAATATACTCTGCCTTACGGTCGTCACTTCTATTATTATTGCTTCTATCGTCGTCGTCGTTTCTATCGTCGTTATTATCGTCGTTGTTATCGTCGCTATTATCGTCTCCGATAGGAGTAGTTAAGTACACAGGAAATATAGCCGCGCAGATACAGGAAAATTAGGCGGTCTCTTATTTAAACTGTTGAAAATCGTACATGTGGACTTTCTCGGGGTTAATCGTGATGATGTATTGTGTCTCTGACTGAATATGCGCCTGATCAAAAAGCAAGCATCGCATGCCTCCTGCAGCTTTCTGTCATTCATGGTAGAAAGGCAGGTGCTGCTAGAAAATGGCTTATGGTTTCTGGGGAGACCAGCCATGGCACCTACCCACAATAGAAAGGGACTTCCTGGTCGACGACACTGGTAGTAGGATCGAATGGAAGGACCGATTCGTCACATGTCTGGGGTAAAAGGTGCCACGAGAAGGATGTGGGTGTTTGTGGTGTCATGAGGCCGGCTGTGGCTACCACGTTCGCGGGTATTGATGTTGGGGGGAAGGAAGCAACCCAGTTGCTAAAGGGACATGGCGCCTAAAAAGAAGCGGCGAAAACGACACTGTAGCTGGATGAAGTGCGATGGTGCCAGATGATTGATTGGCAATCAAAAGGTCATACATGGAGGTTGCCCTTGATATATATATCTTATGATAGAGTAGGAAGGAGGGAAGGTGCCTCGGAATGGTGTAAGTCAGCATGGCTACTTCCCAGCTACGAACAAGAAGGAGGCACCAGCTGTCTTCCTATACTGCTGCTATTTGATGTAGATATCGGGGCAACATCACCACAGGTGAGTGAATAAGTATTGGGGTAAGCTGTCTAGAAAACTTTGCAAAAAACGCATTCAACCGACATCCTCGCCGTTGGTGATACCGTCCCCACGTCGGAGGTCCCTCCGCCGCCCCGTCTCCACTTAAAAAAGAAGCCGCCGTCCAATCTCCACTCCGCCAACAAACTCCGCCGGCATCCCATGCCTTACATAATCACCCTCCCGTCCGCCGCCCGGCGCCCGCAGCGATAGTCCCAGGCGTCGCATCTCCCATTCCCGCGCATCGCCCAAGCGTCGTCATCCAAACCAAAAAAAACCTCCGACAAATCCAATGGGAAAATAAACCTCCTCCCAACCGCCGACCTCCCTCAACCATCATCCCATCTCGCACCGAACCCAGCATCATCCCAGCTTCCCCATCTCCCCAACCAAACAAATACCCGTCGAAACGCCCCTCCCGCACCAGCATCCATCTTATCATCAGCTCAACCCGGGCACCAGCACCAATCGCCACCCGCCGACGCGTGCCCATCGCCAACCATGGCATCCTCACGACACTGCGACTCCCTCGCCCTGCTAACCCGCCTGCACGAAGCAACCTCCAAACCGAAGAACTCCTACCCGCCCATCTCGAGCATCCCACGCACATCCCCCTCCCGCCTCGCCGCCGCCTCCTCCGAATCTGCCTCCGAGGCGACGTCCGTCCTCTACCTCGCCTACGGCTCCAACCTCTCCGCCGAAACATTCCTCGGCGCACGCGGCATCCGGCCCCTCTCCCAAACAAACGTCTCCGCCCCCGCGCTCTCCCTCATCTTCGACCTGCCAGGCCTGCCGTACCGCGAGCCGTGCTTCGCCAACACCACACCCCGAAAGGTCCCGCAGCTCCCGGACCCGTCTGACCCGCCGAAACTGCCGCCCGTCCCGCCGCTGCCGCAACCACCACACTCAACCGCGGATGTGGAGAAGGGAGCACCCAGGAAGACGCCCCCGGATCTGGGCTGGTCCAAGGGCCTCTACGGCGTCGTCTACGAAGTCACGCCGCAAGACTACGCCACCATCGTAGCCACCGAGGGCGGCGGGTCGTCCTACCTCGACATCCTGACGCCCTGCATCCCCCTCCCGCCGCGCGTGTCTGTGCCCGAGAAGCCGCCGATTGACATCCCGAAGCCGTTCTTCGCGCACACGCTCTACTCCCCCGCGATCCCCGACGACGATAAGAACCCAAAAGACGGCGACGATGGTGATAAGCCCTCCGACCCGCGCAAAAAATGGTACTACCACCTCATAACCCCCCCGCGCCGCCCGGACCCGACCTACGCACAGCCCTCCGCGCGGTACCTCAAGCTCATCACCGACGGCGCCGCCGAGCACGAGCTGCCGGACGACTACCAGGCCTGGCTTGCTTCGCTGCAGCCGTACACGGTGACGAGCTGCCGGCAGCAGCTGGCGCAGTGGCTGCTGACTGGCATCTTCTTCCCGGTGATGCTGCTCTTCTTCCAGCTGAACAAGTGGATCGCGAATAAGGAGGGGAAAGTGCCGCTGTGGCTGGGGGTGAGTCTGAGTGTGGTGTTTAATATGTTGTGGATGGGGTATGATGCGGTGCTGAAGCGTGTGTTTGGGGATGGGGAGAGGACGGAGGAGGAGGACAAGAGGTGGAGGCGGGCGCCGGCTAGCGATGTGGAGAAAATGAATTTGTTGATGCGGGATTGGTAATTTATAGGATTAAGAAGGAGTTTGGGCTAGAGCACAAAGGATACCAAATTGATCAGAATGGTTTTTTAAATTGCTTGAATTCGTCTACATACATTCGTCCATCCCACACCATGCCGCTGTGGTATTCAATCCACGGATATCAATGCGCGCCTATCGTTCAAACCCAGCCCGAGGCTCCTGAGCATCTCAGTGTCCATATATCCACACATGCCATTAACATTGTCCATCCTACTCTCCTAGTTATCCGAGACGAGGCTCGGGATATCGTCAACGCTGTGCCGCCCTTCGAGAATGCCGTTCACGGCCGTGAACAGCGGGTAGTCCTTCTCCAGCCCCCTCGCCTTCAGGAAGCTGTTGACCTCCTTGGCGGTGCTGGTGCCCTGCAGCAGCTGGCCGTTGAGCTCCCGCTTCTCAATCTCCTGCACGCTCAGCCCCTCCTCGACGGCCATCTTGGCGCACTTGAAGTTACGTCCACCGCTGCACGACGTGATCAAATCCGCAACGCCCGCCGACTCCTCGGTGAAGGTGCCCGTGTGCACCGTCTGCCCGAAGAACTCCTTGCCAAAGTTGACCATCTCAAGCAGGCCGACGCGCATGATGGCGGCCTTTGCATTGTCACCCCAGCCGCGGCCGTCCACGAAGCCGGCGGCGAGCGCGACGATGTTCTTGAGGGCGCCGCCGAGGGAGACGCCAGCGACGTCGGAGACCAGGCGCACGTGGAAGTAGGGGCGGTGGAAGAGGGTCTTGAAGATCTGGTGGTCGAGGGGCGGGTACTCTGCGGGGACGGGGGTGAGCTTCGTCTTGGAGGTGCGGCCGCGGGCGTCCTTGTGCTGCATCTCGACAGGGGTCAAGGGGGCGATGCCGTTGCCGTTGGGGTTCGGGGAGGTGGAGCGCGGGGTGGGTGCGCGGGAGTTGTCCATCGGGGGCGGGTCGTAGGCGATGGTGGTCTCTGACCACTTCTCGGCGGCGATCTCGGAGGCGATGTTTGCGCCGGAGAGGGCGCCGCAGTAGATGCCGAGGCCGTCGCCGATCCACTCGGAGAAGAGGGAGATGCCGTCGTCGGAGACGTTGACGCCCTTGATGCAGGAGACGCCGCGGGCGAAGGGGAGGATGTGGCCGCGCAGCTGCTTGCAGACGTTGCCGATAAACTGGTGGGGGAGGTTGAAGACGAGGATGGTGGAGTCCTTGACGGCGTCCTGGAGGGAGGGGTTGGCGACGAGGTTGTGGGGGAGCTTGATGCCGGGCAGGTATTTGGTGTTTTCGTGGTATTTGTTGATGACGGAGGTGAGCTTCTGCGGGGAGGAGCCGACGGCGGGGTCGTGGTAGGGGGAGGAGGCGTCGAGGACGACGTCTTCTTCGTACACCCACATGTGGACGTCCTCCTCGAACAGGTCCGGGTGGGCTTTTGTGTTTTCGGCCACGATCTTGGAGATGGTTGAGCCCCTGGGAGAGGTGTGTTAGCATCGCGTACAGATTGTAGGTGGTGGTGATGGCGATAGCTTACCAGTTACCGGAGCCCACCACGGTGACCTTGTGCTTCTTTTCGGCGCCGAGGGAAGCCATTGTGGTGGAAGAGTAGAATCGTCGTTGGGGAAAGCTGCTTCTTGCGAGTGAAACAACGGATCGCAGGCGGAAGAGCATGGGGCAGAGCTGGAGAGAGCGTCGAGAGAGGGGGTGTGGAAGAAGTCTATCTATTATGTACTGGGTACGGTGTGTGTAAGGGAGGAGGGTCCCGGCCAGGTCCAGGTCCAGATTCGGGCAAGGTGCGGTCGGCGCGGATGGGTACGGGCAGTCCAGACAGGTGCTTTAGCTTGAGGTGGGTGCTTGGCAGCTGCTAGGGATCCGTATCGGCGGGCGGACAGGCGGGATGGGCTTGGGTGTGGTGGTCTCCTCAGTCTGAGTGAGGAATGGTATGGATCGTGGGTGGACAGTGTCTTGGGTCACGGCAGTGGCAGTGGCAGAAAAAAAAATAAAAAAATAAAGCGAGACAACGACAGCATGTGTTTTTGCCCCTCTATTTGCGGTGCCGGGCAAGGCAAGCAGGGTCACCACCGCCCACCACCTTCCACTCCAAGTCTCCATCCCCAATCACCTCCCCCGGTCGCATCCCTGGAAGGGAAAGAAGCTGCCAGGCGAGTGTCAGCGAGTGCAACTGCAGCTGGATGTGCCGGTGCCGGGGTCTTCCTGCCCAGCGGCGCTGTTGAGGGAAGCATGACGCACCGCCAACCCGGCAGGGTCGCGGCAGAAGTCGTCACCGCCTTCTGTATCCGGGATAGTCGCTCAACGAAATGCCAGGGGGTTGAGGCCGACGCACTCTTTAGGGAGGACCACCTTCCACTGTGACCGTCAGTTGCGAGTCCGGGCTGCCTCGGCCGGACACTCCGCCTCCCCCGGACCTGGCCGAGGCAGCACGCGGAGTCGGTCCTTTCCTTTACTCGCGTGCCTGTGTTTACTCGTATTATCGGCTGTCAACACTATCAAGTTTAATCTCCATTTTATTACCTTGCCCAAGGTTCTCCAAGAATCTCGGCTCATCACAAGTCAGAAGCAACCACAAGTCAACAAACTGCACACCACCCATGTCACCAACGATCGCTCACAACTGCTGTCCGAAAAGTGGCTCCTGAGTGGGAACTGCACGAAAATGACCACTGATAGAAAAATAGATTCCGGTTCTCTCCTTCCAATCCAATCACCCCTGTCGCCAGATGGAGAATCACATGCCAATTGATTTCCCCCTCCCCTTCCATCCGTTTCTTCTGCATCCCGTGCCTGGCCCACGGCTCTGGAGATCGTCGCAAGGGTTGACGCCGCCGCTTTTTCATTGGCGACAGCACGAGATTGCTCGCGGCAACGGGATGCAACGGCCTCCATCAGCCGCCGTCCCGCGCCTCGAACTCCGACCGACGTTGCTCAATGGCGTTACACGTGCGACTAGGATCACGCCGTTTTTTTTGTCAGAAATGTTCCCCATGCCTATTTCGCCTCCCCCGCGCGGCGGGAAGCTGCTAGGAATGGCCGCCTGGCGCCGCGTGCCGCGTGCGGTCGCTAAACTCAATTGCGCGCTTCCCGAGGCACATCTGACGCCGAAGCTCTCCCCAGCTTGTCTTGAACGGGCATGGTATTGCCGCCTTGCGCGTTCCTGGGGATTAACGGGCTGGGGCCGATCCCCAGGTGTTCTGTGTAACTGTGGCTTTGCCTTCAAACATTCTGTTTCTTCAGTCGCTTGGTGATTGCTGCGCTTTCGTTACACAAGCAATTGCCAACATGCACATGCACGCTATCACTCAGACGCAGCTCCTTTTGAGCTCGTCATCGCAGAGACTCAATCTCTTCCCCATACTCCGGTAAATCAGATCTCCGCGCGGGGTAACTCTGTTGATGATTCATTCAGACGCTGAAAGCCTCAGCTGAGCTGCACGGCAGGGCTCTCTTCAACCCCGGCAAGACCATTCCTTCGAAAATTTAACGCCCGCAATCATTCCTTGCGGAGGAACTCTGTCCTATGTAATACCCATCAAGTAGTTTTCGGTTGTCGGATATAAACCTAAAACTCCGAGGATGTTAGGATCTGATATTATTTGATTGGGTCTTCTTTCACATCGACGACCAAACACCTTGCTGCAGGAACCTCACTGAGATTGGGAGCTGTTAGGATTGTCAACAAAAATGTGCCATCTCCTGGAATCTGGAGAAAGCAGCTTTCCACATTGGTGCTTGCGATCTGGCACTCCTCATATTCCAGCACTACGTGAATCTCTAGCCGTGGGTCAAAAGATCTTCCCGTCTGACAACCTTGGACATTTATCGGATTGCCGTTCACCGAAGAGGCCAGCCTGGCCCTCAATTCCACCACAGGGGCCTCAAGGGTTGACCGAGACTTTCATCACGTTTTGCCAGTTGGCCTTAGGGATGATGTTGGCCCCCAATCCAGCTCTCTTCGGGTAATGAAACACGCACCAGCCCTGGGATCAAAACATGTCAGTCTCTGTACACGTCGGTTTCGCAGATGTTCCCGGGTAGAGTACTCACGTCGGGCGTCCAACTAACTCCCAGACATTTCGACTCCTTGTTGCACTTGTTCGCCAGGCACTCATTGATGGTATCGTAAGCGTCCGATCTCGTTGTTTGCGTCCGCTCAGCATATGTACTGCATTTGAGCTCGTACTCCACCCCGTCGATGGCAAACCTCTTGCATCCGTCCTGGCAACGGCTGTATGTATTGATGTTTTCGCAGGCCGGATCGCCAGTCTGGACGAAGCCGCCTGGGCCTGAGCCGCGGCCGGGTCGCCCCTTATCCTCAAGATCCTTCACCTTCTTCTCCAAGTCAGCTACTTCAGACTTACACTTCTTCTCGGCCGCAGCGCTCTGGTCCTTCAGCCTGCCCTTCTCCGCCTCGCACACCTTCCGGTCGCGCACCAATGCGGCCTTGTCCGAATCGCACTGCTCTCTAGCCGCGGCCACTTGCCGGCTCTTCTGAGCCTCGCACTGGGCCTCTGCGTCCTTCAACGAGCCCTCGTGCGCGGCCTTCTGCCCCTGCACCTCCGCCTCGCACTGGCTCGTCATCTCCCGGCGGATGGCGTCCTTCTCATCGTTGCACTGCGCAGTCGCCGCCGGGTCCGCCGCAGACGGGTCGTCGGCGGGCGGCTCCTCGCTCTTGGCCAGGAGGATGAACTGCCGCGCCGGCATGGGCCCGAACGAGGTGCCGTCTCTGGTCACGTAGCATAGCCCGTTCCTGCCGGCCCAGCTCGCGGCGACGCAGGTCGGGTCCTGCGCGCAGAGCTGGGCGCACTCCCGCGGGCTGGCAGTGTTCTGGCCGGTGCTCTCGTACGGTTTGGCGTATTGGCCGCAGGCGTAGGTGAAGACGGTGCCGTCAACGGTGCCTTTGCCTTCGGTGGCATCGGTTGGGCAGCATGCGGTGAGGGCGGTGGCCCTGTTGGCGTTTGAAGAGGAGAGACAGCTGCCGCCGGTGCTACGGAGAGGAGCTTGCTGGGCCCAAGCCACTCCAGCACTGAGGGCGAGGAGATGGACTGAGCGTAAGAGCATGATGGCTGTAGGCGCGAGAAAATGGAGAGAAACCTCAGGGATGTGGTGATGTCAAGGAGAACATTTCTCATCCATGTCTGATGCTGGCGGGCTTATATATACGGCGGTAATGGTACGGTCCCTCTGCACAGGATAGACATGCTGTGGACCATGTCGAGTGTGGGGCATGTAGCCTTTCAACGCAATCACAAAATCCTTCCCCCAGACTGGACCTACGACAGATCGTAGTCAGTTTGCCATTCTCCAAGGTCGCGACATCACGAAGACTACGCTTTCAAACCGAGTTACAGCGAGAAATGCAAGACCACGGCATCCCGTTTGCAATAATCAAGCTTCTGCTTTCAGCAACCCCGGCTTCTGACGAAGAAGTCTCAAAACCTTTCTGTTGTCGTGGGCTCTGCGGCTCAGACATTCTCAGAATGTTATCGAGACCATCTTGTCGATCTCGGATCTCGCCGGAGCGGGGTAACGTGGCGGCGATCGTCGTCGGGAGCTGGCGTGAAATAGATGGGCGAGGGACACACGGGCCGGGTTGCTGGGCCGTCCCGTCCCTTCCCTTCCACCACTTCTCGGCTCGGCAAGCGCCCGCTGCCCTTGGTCTGCGGGGCTAGACTATCGAGCCGTTCTGACGTCGCTGCCGCTGATGAGCCACTGACCTTGGTGAGCGTGCCGAATATTATGGACAGATCCGGTAGGCGTAGATGTCTCGTATCTGCATCAACTGATTGCGTAGGATGATCTCCGTTGAAAGAGCGTTAGACATTGCATCTAGAGGTGATGTTTTCAGGCCCGAGTGAGTATTTCCAAGAGCTTCATCCTCTTAAGGCCAAAACAAGTGGCTGCTATTCCAAAGCACGAACTGTCTACGAGACGCTCGCATGTGACGGGTCTTGTGTCTATCGTCTCTAGCTCTGATGTACATCAACGCCCAAACTCATTTTCCGTTGGCCTAGTGAGACAGTTGTAGGTGTGGAGGCTACTAAGATCTCCCCATGTCTCGGGTCTCATGGAATGTTGTGCGGAGTACATTCCGAGGCATATCAGCAAATTGGAATCGGGGATGGGATCCGTTTTCAGCCGCGACGTTGAGATGGGGGAGAACGCCGCTGAGCGATCTTGTCTCGGGAGTCGGGAGGTCGAACACGTACGACACTAGCCAGGGGAGCTGGGGAAAGGCGCTTGCACATTCCCATCCAACCCGAGAACGCTTTCAGCGGACCGCAATGTGAGAAATGAGTATCTGGTAACTCGAAGTCGTACAGCTTTTTGGCTGAGACAGATTGATACCAAGTACGTGCAATTGGGAGCTCGAGGCACTAGGTTGATGTCTTGCCTAGGACGCCAAGTGCTGACAGGTTACAAAGACTGAGACGCGGGGTCAAGATCAAGTTGAGATATGTGTTTCAAACTCTGAATTTGATCCTTGATGCAAATTCAATACCGAACTTGATCTATTCCCCTTATGTCAATTCACCTGAACGGATTAGGCGCCTACGGCCAGCAAGCGAATTGTCTATGGATTTTGTACACCATGTCCCCATTCTATTGACGAACTTAGAGGAGAACGTCCATGTTGATTTCGAGGCTGCGTCATCTTTCGGTTGGAATTGTTCATCTCTCATCTGCGAACTTCCTAGACTTCCGTTTCCGAGTGTAGACCGAAACCAGATGACCCGGATAGTACAGGCAAAGGTTCTGCTTACCCTGGAGCCGATACAGTCTACAGAGATTAACTAAGCCAGGTGCAGCCCAACTTCGAAGACGCGTATAAGACTCGTTGAGCCATCAACTTCATGATCGAACATATCCACAACCAACCACTCAATCAATTCTTCCATAGAGCCCTACGAGCCCTACTTTCATCATGTTTACTCTCCGGGCGAGCCTGGTCGCCCTCTTGGCAACCCATGCAACAGCAGCCGCCCAGGTTCCCCTCGGCTCTTCTCGCCACACCAAATACACCCTCGACGCGATCAAGCCCCTTTTCAACCCCGATACCGGCCTGACCAAGTGTTGCCCCGAGGGAACGCTCTTCGACGGCAAGAACTGCATCCTCGGCGTCCCCAAGTGCCCGCCCGACACAACATTCAAGGACGGCCGCTGCATCTCCACCGTCAAGCCAGCATGCAGCGAGGGCTCCGAGCTGGACGGCAGCGTTTGCGTCACCATCGCGAAGCCCTCCTGCACCCCCCCGCTGCAGTTCAGAGGCAAGGCCTGCGTCTACGATGAACCCCCCAAGTGTCCTTCCGGCTTTGATCTGGAGGGCCAGGTGTGCGTCTCTACCAAGAAGCCTTTCTGCGGCGACGGAGACCGCTTTAACGGCAAGGGCTGCGTCAACACCATCGGCCCGTCGTGCCCCGAGGGCTCCAGCCACACCAATGGTGCTTGCGTCAACATCCTCCCCCCGAGCTGCTCTGGAAAGAGCCAGTACGACAAGACACTCAAGGCCTGCGTCCATCATCAGTCCCCGGAATGTCCTCCCGGTAGCACCCTCAAGGGAAGCAACTGCGTGGCTGACGGTCCCCAGTGCCCGGAGGACACCAGCTTTGACGCAAAGACACAGACATGTGTCTTGAGGACTCCTCCGGAGTGCCCTCCCAGCTACAAGCTGGAGGGCGAGCGGTGCATTGCTACAGACGACCCGTCGTGCAGCCCTGGCACGGAGCTTGTGGTTGACCAAAAGGCCCGCACAGCCCGTTGCTGCGCGCCCGGAATGAAGTTGGAGGGAGAGGTATGCTACCGCAAGGTCCCCCACGACGGCGAGTGTCCGCCGAACACGACGCCGATCGGAGACCGCTGCCAGTTCACCACGCCGCCGCCGCCCATCTGCCCGCCTGGCACCAAGCTCGTCCGCGACCAGTGCGAATTGATCGACCCTCCCGACTGCCCGCCTGGCTACACACGTGATGGAGTTATCTGCTCGGCCGTAGACAAGCCAGTCTGCCCCGGAGACTCCACCCTGACGAACGGCCAGTGCATTGCCACGTCAAAGGTCCAATGCCCCACGGGATCGATCCTCCAGGGCCAGGTCTGCATCGTCGGCCCGCCGTCTTGTTCTTCTGGCACTTGGAACGGTGCCCATTGCGTCGTCGGCCGGCCTAGGTGTATGGACGGTGGCTACTACGTCGATGACGACTGCCTCAAGCCTGAGATCCCGGGCTGCACTGACAACACAATCTTTGCCGATGGTCGATGCATCTCGAAGGAGGCTCCCCAATGCTCCAAAGGACAACTCAGCAACGGCACCTGTGTCGATTCCTCCATACCAACATGCCCACAAGGCTCGATTCTCAACGGCGGCTCATGTTTGAAGGGGACCCCCACCTGCCCCCCGGACCAGATCCTCCAGAACAACGTCTGCAATCACATCGAGGACCCCGAGTGCGCTCCCGGTTACGACTTCATCGGTGGCCAATGCCAGAGCGTCGATGAGGAGACCTGTCCTCCACGCTACGTCTATAAGAACGGCGAGTGCATCAACGATGAAAAGCCCCAGTGCGCCGGCAGCACACACTTCAACGGCACCGCCTGTGTCGGTGACGACCCCGGCTGTCCGCCCAGAGCCACCTTCGTCGGGGGCAAGTGCAGATTGGCCGAGGAGCCGGCGTGTCCTCCTGGCTTCCACTTCGACTCAAAGCATTGTGTGGCGAACGAGAAGCCCGATTGTGCACCTGGCACGGCTTGGGATGAGGCCTCCGGCCAATGCATCGGCGACGAGAAGCCCAAGTGCCCACCCGGCCAGAGGTTCAACGGCGGGCAGTGTGCCCTGGAGACGGGAGACTGCATGGAGTTCGAGTACTGTCCCCCTGGAAACAACATGTTGCTCATGAGCACGATTTGATCATCCAGACTGACCTCGACGACTTGGAAATGCTCCGGATATGATGGAACTCTGGTCTTCACTATGAAGGGCTGGCGCTCGTGTGATCTCCAACTAGTGGCTTCAATAGCTTTTAATGCAATAATTAATCACAACTTCAAATGATGTGTCGCAAATCCACATTTACTCCATGGTGATGGAAAAGTGATGTGGTATAGGGGATGAGGTTTGGTATCTAAGGCAAAAGGGATGCTGGAAAGGGGAAGGGCTATGCTACATGTAAATCCCAACGCCGCGCTCTTTTGAGGTAGAAGGAAGGAAAAAGGAAAATCTCCGAGTTTCTTCATAATGCCGGATCAGGCCTCAATGACGATGTCCTTGACCATGTCGATGAACCTTTGCTGATACTCGGCGGGGTTCGCAGTGATGCTCATGGGTCCATGGCCTGCAATAACGTTGTATGAGTCGACGAGTCCAGTCATGAGCTTGGCGCGAAACTTGTGCTTGGCCCAGAAGAAGTCGAGGACGACAACGCGGTAGAACCAGTTGCCGTCAGCGTCGACGATGCCGGTGCGCCAGGGATGTGCATCGGATTGGATCGAGGGAGCATTCTCGCGATCGCCGTCAGTGACATTAGGGCCGGGGTAGCGGACGAGGAAGAGAGAGTAGTCAACGGCGTTGTTGTCTGCGAGGAGCTTGGTGTCTGCATCGAGGAGGTCGAGCAGCTCCTGTCTCTTATCCGCCTTCATGCGGATCTTGTCGGGGAACTCGTCGATGAGCCTCTCCTTGACGCTCTCGAGAGCGAGCTTGCCACCAGCAATGTCTCGCTCAGGGAAGAAGTAGTCATTCGGCTTGAGATCGTACGTCTCCCATCCAGATTTCCGGTGTTCGGTCTCCTCCATCTCCTTGCCGTAAAGGAGATTTTCCATGATGATGTGATGTGTCGGGGCAGTGCCCAAGATACCGCCAAGAGTTGCAAGGGAGGTGTAGACCATGTCGGTGATGCGCACAAGCAGGCTGTGAGGGTGTTCCTTCATGTGCGCCACGTAGGCATCGAACAGATCGTGGGTGAAGAATTCGTGTTCGAATCGGCGGGGCAGCGACTTGATGAGGAACTTTCCGTCGGCTGTCGTGAAGAAGGTCGAGCCGCTGTAGCCCAGGTCGCCGACGGGCTTCAGGT